ACCTTCAATTTTATTAACTTTAATATTTCCACATCCAATTTAGGGTTAGAATGGATGAGTCAGAGTGTTTTACGTATGCAACCCTCCACTCTGCGGGACAGGCGGATGCATCATCTCATCACACCTTTGGGCAAGTGATTTGACATGCTATTCGCCCCCCAAATGTGATATATAATCACCTACAGGACTAGCCTACATATTGTCAGTTTGATTTGAACACTTCCTAACCTTTGGGCAATAGGGTTATTCTCTTCTCACTGAAATGTTTCAACTATCATGTACCACTTATCATGTAGGGGATTTCCTAGACACATTTGGGCAAGACTAGTAGTCCATCCACAGATAAGTGCAACCTTCCAGTCCAAATAAGACTAAACTCAACCTTAGAAAATTAGGGTATTATAGGTTGGTCACCTTTGGGCAAGACACTAACCTACTCTACCATAATTTCTAAGTGATTGTTTTACTGATCTTCCTTAACCCCATAGGTTGATCTAATACTGTAATCTGTTTTATCATGAACCCAAAATCTTCCTTAACCCCATAGGTTGATCTAATACTGTAATCTGTTTTATCATGAACCCAAATATTTACCCCCACCTGAATTAAGGATATAATCAGGGTAAATCAATTATCTTTATGTGCTTACAATAATCTTTATGAATTGTCCAAATTCATGTATTAAAACTTTATAAAATGAAAATAAAATTGTATAGTTGAAAAGTACATAAAATTATCTTTCCAACGACTATTTATGGGCTCAAATCGGACTTAAAACGGATCTGTAACGACCAAAACAAAATGAGTTGTCAAAACTGTAATGGGTCGGGTCTGGAAATTAATGGATCTGGCCCATTACATAATGGGTTGGGTCAGATTTTAATGGATCCAATCTATTACTGTAGCGGGTCGGGTCCATTACATACTGGATCGGGTCTTCCTTAATGGGTTATAGAGTTATATAACTCAAATAATAAATAATAGTTAATTATACTAATTAATCTAATTAATTAATTAATTAATTAATTAATTAATGCCGGCCTTATCCCCGCCGCCGTGCTGTTCTTCCGCGAGAAGCAGCCATGGCCGCGAGGAGCAGCCATGGCCATGGCCATGCCCGCATGGGTTCAAACGTTGAATTGGGAATACAGAGACCAATATAGGAAGAAGCAAATAGGAAGAAGAAATTCCTTTGATGGCAAAAACGAGGAGTAGCCATGGGTTCATGCCGCCATGATTGAAAATTTTTTTTTTTTTGCTTCATCACTGCTCCGTGATCAACAAACAAAAGAGAACCACAGTCTACAGACGCCATGATATCTTCTATAGAACTTTGAATAAAATTTTTTTTAATTAATCCGAAAAAAAAATTTACTTCTAGATCAAAAAAAAACATGTACAAACAGGCACTGATTAAATATATTTGCGATCTTGTTTTTCAGGAGCAGCCATGGGTTAGAAATAAGAAACCATGTATGCGGCCATGGTTGCTGCGGCCATGATTGAATATATATATATTTTTAATTAATCCAGATGCAAAAGATTCATGCGTAGCAAAGATGAAAATTTATTAATCCGAAAATTAAAACTTTAATTCTAGATTAAAAACTCATGCACAATCTAGCTCTGATACCACTGTTGGATTATTTAACGATCTAGGCATGAGAAATTGAACTAGAAATATAGATCTAATTACCGTTCACCAACGAAATAATGGAAGTCTTCTCCTCTCTCCTCCCGTAGCCAATGATGGGAATTAGGTCTCTTTTCTGCGTACGGTTGAGAGGAGGGACTCACACCCTTTATATAGATATTTATGATTAACTCTACCCATCATGGTTTAATCACAACCGTGAGATTACACTCCGGTCAATCCTATCCTTTAGATATTCAAGATAACCACCCAACTTGATAAACATGAAACAGTCTAACCAGATCATGTGGTTAGCATCCTGATCCTAACTTGAATCAATGACAACTTTAAATCAAATCCAAAATCGAGTAGGTTGGGCCACATGGGTTCGTTGGATTAATCGAACCCAACAATCTCCCACTTGGCACAACATACCTCATTTTAATTTTCAAAAATATTTAAATTTTCAAAAACTTTCAAAAGTCGGGTGCGCACCCATTTATTTTAGAAAACAACTTGTTGCCATGATTCTAATTAGGATAGTTTCCGAAACCTTTTCCTTAAAACAAAAGTACCACTAATGGTTGATCGTGAAAACACTATATGCTCTAATATGTCACAAGGTCACTCCACGGTCCAACCGCTAGTACCACTAATGTTCTAAAGACATTTTCCTTATGGTGGTTTTAGTGGAGTGTAATAGAGCCGTACATCCCTTATGATCAAATCCGATGTACGCCCTTAAGCGTCCTCTGCAACATACACAAACATGTATGCCGTTCTGAAACTTTTACCGGCATCCGCCATGTGAAAACCATCACCTTTAGTCCAGAACGAAAGCCTCAAATGTGATGCCCAATCACATTCAGCTTCTGCACAAATTTAAGAGTCTCTTTACTTTAACCTTTATGACTCTATGGACCACTGTCTTTAATTCGAGTTTCTTTACGATTAACTTGAAACTCTTTACTTTAAACTTTAGTTTTCTTTACTTTAAACTCTTTATGATATTTTAGCGATCAAACATGGTCTGTTGCATAAGGGAGTATTGGTAGAATAAAGTTGTGAAGTTTGTATGGAAGAGGCGGAGAGCACAAAACATGTTATTCTTATGTGTGAATGGGCTCGACGAGTATGAGAAGGATCTCCATTGCGAGACTTTTTGTAGGTCTATGATAGTGAAAACATTCAAGAGAGAGGACCTGGAACTGTGGCTTGTGATGGCATGTAGGACTTGGCATAATTGAAACCTTCAAATTCATGGAAACGATCCTTTGAGGGTGGAAGAAGTAGGTCCATTTGTGGCAAAATATATTAGGTTGTGTTTGGGAATGTTGATTTGGGCTTGGATTTGAAATACCCAGAATTTCAAATCCAAATTTCGTGTTTGGGCTTAACTTTAGGCCATGATTTTAAATCAAGTCATTTTATACAGTGGATTTGAAAAGCCCAAAAGTATGGATTTCAAATTTGGGCACACTACTTGGTATTTGCCAAATCTTCACCCCACGAAATCTAACCCTTCAAAACCCCGACTCCTCTTTTTCTCCTCTCTCACGCTCGTGTCAAAGTCCCGACGATCTCGATCTCGATCTCAAAGCTCAAGCTCGATCTCGATCTCGATCTCGATCCATCGCAGGTATCTCTCCTCTCTCCCCTTCTCCTCTCTCGGTTTCGGTCTCCCCCTTTACTCCTCTCTCTCCCCCTTCCATCGAAACCCTAGATCGGCTCTGACTTGACTTTTCTCTTTTATAGCTTGTTTTCATCGAAACCCTAGATCGTCATATTTGTACCCAGCAGTTGAAGTAAGCGATTGTGCCTAGAAGTTGATAATATGAGTAATCTGTCATAATGCATTGGCTCTCTTAAAAATTATAATGATCAAATTGGTCAACCAGTCAATCTTGTATTCAGTGAATTAGACTGCATGCAGTAGTTTCTTGTTTCTCACTTAGAATGTCAAATGAAGTTAAAAGCTCAATATTTTTATAGATACTTCATGACTCATTTGAAATTACTTATGTGAAAATTGAGCCATATATCCTAGATAGATTTGAGGATGTCATTGTATTCTATAACTAAATAGCATGTGATGAAAGTGATTAAGAAGAAATGTTTTCTTCATTAGGATTCTTCTCTATTTACTCATCGAGGGTTCAGAATGTATTTGGGCTTTAGATTTTGGTGGGAGTTTCTCAATTTTTATATTCCTTCAAACTATAGCGAGTTTTCCTCCTCCATTCATTGACATAGTTTTTTTGGGGTCACAAATGCATGCTATTTCTTCTTGCATATAATTTTCACAATATTTGCAGCACGCAACACACAATCCTTGATTCAGAATTCTCAACAACTCTCAGTTTGCTACATAGTAAATTGTTTGCAGATTTCTGTTTTATCAATAACCACATAGGCAAAAACTACAGCCATATTATTCCATTGCATCCTCATAAATGTGGCATTTTGTGAAATTATGTTGTATTGATTGGCAGATTGAATGGATATTTACGGCATCCAGTGTTTATCATGTCCTTGATAAGACTTCCAGTACGTTCTGTTGTCGATTATTTGGCATTTCAAATACACATGAAATCATATTGAGGGAAAAGTTCATCTAACTATTAAGCTCAAATAACTGAACATCTAAACAAAGATATCATACAATGCTTGATCGTCTATTTTCCTTCTTGGGTACCCTTTTCTTTTCTTATGTTCTCTTAGTATTCTTCATCGTCAATGGTTGTTGATGGCTTTCATGAAAAATTTTCTACTTTTCTGAACTCAATTCCAAAGCTTTTCTTGAGAAGGCAAGAACATAAGAGAGCAACTGAGCACCTCTTCATTGGTTTTCTAAATTTTGCTTTGTCCAACTTTTGCTAAAATCCGTGATAATGTAGTTATAACTTGCCTAGTCGAAAAATGCATATTATTAGTTTGTTGTGGTTAAGGATTGTGCTAAAAAGTTTTCCATATTTCTTTCCTTAAGTACTTGTAACTTGCCAATGTGCGGTGATATATGCTTCATGCCGAGAAATAAGCATAGTAAGGTACCCTATTTACCTCAAAAATTCATGTCATTCCCAACTTCATGCCTGGACCATGACATGAAGCCTCAAGCCTCATTCTTATATTTCTATCTGCATTACGCATGATTGTGTACTGTATGTGCATTTTCACCAAATACAGAGAAGCAAACTCAATGCTACATATGTTTACATAATATTCAATCAGACAATTATTGAAGAAATGCCGCATAACCTATCGTACCTTTGCTATCTCCTCTGAAACCACATTATGTTTGCAGGAAGAGAAGTAGGTCTAGCATGAAGTTTTCAGGAGTAGTTTCTTAAGGAGTAGTTTAAAAATACCCAACTTAAGTCGCATTCAAGTGTTCAATGCATTTGAGAAGATAATGGATAGCAACCCGGAAAAGTTTTATTTGTTGAAGTCACTTCCTGATGATGAAAAAAGAGATTTTATTCTCTTTATTCTTAAGGAGTAGTTTCTAGTTTTCAGGTCGGACTACTTTTCTTCATCTCAATGTTATTCTTCACAATATTTTTAACCGAATATTTCTAATTTTTTGATGATTTCTTATGAATGCATTAGGGTTTGGTGATTTTGATGGATTCTTAGCTAATTCAAGTAAGGAGTGCTTGTCTCATCTCAAAGGTACAAATTTTTCATTTTATTGAGAATTCTGTTCTTTTTATTTAGTGTATACTTGATTATGATGCATTTCTAAAATGTATCTTTCATTAGGTTTGTGCAAGTCTATTTATTTTCAAGTATAATTTCAACTCGCACATCTCCCTTGACACTATTGTTTTGGTGAATACCTTATTGTCGATCTATAATACCTTATTGTTGTGAAGACTGTCATGAATCTGAGCCTTGCTTCTGCCGTTTTAGTGACTCGTTCTCCTTGCGGAGCCTCATAATACCTTCAAACAGGAAGATCAGTTTGTTAAAAAATAAAGTCTAGAGCCTCATAATACCTTCAAACAGGAAGATCAGTTTGTTAAAAAATAAAGTCTAAAATGTGTGACTACATATCCCCAAAAATCAGCTGAATTAGCTCACTGTAGCTTCATTAGATGTCAATTATGCTCCAAAAGAGTACACAAATCAAGTTCATGACAGCAGAAAAAACCTGTAATTAATACAACGTGCATGAATGGGTCACTGCAGAACCTGAATGTAGATAACACTAGAAAGAACATGAGAGAACAGTTTGAAGAAGCTTACAAATACTTGCTATCAACGAAGAAATACTATTGGTCTGGAGCTCAATTTTCCAATTGGTCATGAAACAATGATATCACTAACAACTTGTCAGAGTTCTTCAATGCGTGGGTGATTCCAACTACATTTGCCTGTAGTGGACCTCGTCGACTAGATCGGGGTAAAAATTATGGAGAGGATGGAGCAAAGGCCAAGAATGTGTAGGAAGTGGAAGGGAAGACTTGTTCCCTATGCAGAGAGGTATGTGAAGATTGGGTGTTTTCATTGTAAGAAGATCAGTTGATTGGGTCACTGCAGAGGTTGAGAATGAAATAGAGGAGAGATATTAATCTTGAGGAGAGGATTTGCTCATGTAGGAAATGGCAGTTGACGGGTTTACCTTGCATTCATGTTGCTAGCATAATTAGCAAGATAAGGAATGTTGATTGGGTAGATTACATAGATGATGTGTTTCATGTAGAGAGGTAGAAACAATTCCTATATTATTAATGATTATCTCTTGGTGCCGTTAAGGTTAACTAACAAACAATATTCACTAATTTTAGGTATAAAAAAAACATATGAACTGGCCATAGGTACTCTGCCATAGGTACTACTACATCCAGGATCTCCTCAATTTGCTTAAATGAACTAGGTATTGTTTACTGTTTTATCCCCTTTATAGTTCTTTCACATTTATTAATTGTGTGTATTTGAATGTTTTTATTTAGAACGAGTCACTAAAACGGCAGAAGCAAGGCTCTGATGTAAGGTTATGTTCGAATATCCCTTGACACTATTTCTTTTCCAGTGTGCTTTTCTCATAAGCAGTCTCAGGCTTTTCTAATGTCAACGTTATGGGTTTTTTTTCGCAGGTCAAGCGTGATATTGTGCTGAGAGTGCTTGTGCTTTGGTCTCACCTTTTTCGGTTCTCATTGTCATTTGATATAGCTTGCTGCTTTGTCGAATGATTGTAGCTTATATGTAAGGGTTAATTGCATATACTCTCTGTGGTATCGTTTTTAAATTGCAACCCCTGTAGTGTACACTGTTGCAGATGTGCCCTTGGGTTAAAATTGTGACTGTTTTACCTTTGGACTTACTAATTTCTAGCTGAAGTCAAACAAAAGGATATTGGATTCGTTTGATGTTATTTGGGCCTTCTCTGTTCTCTGAGTTTATTGCCAGAAGTAGAAGGAATTGTTTTTGTATGTTGACAAATGATTCCTGTGAAGTTTCTTACTTTTGGTGTTTGCATTGGTGAGCTGATATATTGTACTAAAGGTGGTTGTGCTTTGGTCTCATCTTTTTTGTTTCTCATTGTCACTTGTTGTGGTGTTTGCTTCTATGGTGAATGATTGTGGCTTATAGTATACTCCAATATATTGGCATCTGATGGTTTGGTACATTTGCTCTTTTATTGGATGTCTTTGTGAAAGATACTAGTGGAGAGTATATCAAAGTGATCTCCAAGTACGTTAACGGAAAAATTGAAAGATACTTGATATATTTGTAGAGTTTTCTTCATTTTTATTTTGTTGAAACTCTTGCAAGTTATGTTGGGCAATGAATTTGAAAACTTAGCAAATGTAGTTATCATCGCCAAAATTACCTAAATTTGTGTTTTTTTGTTACTATTTTACACATCACCATTGCATTTGATGTAAACAAGATGGGTTAAAGAGAATAAATTTTTATCAATTTTAAATTCAAATTCATGTATAATAAAGTACCCAAACACTAGATTTTGAAATTAAAGATTTCAAATCCTTTCATTTAATAAAGATATCCAAACAAAAGATTTCTTAAATCATGGATTTCAAATCCTAAATTTAAAATCCCTTGATTTTAAATCAACTTCCCAAATCCAAATCAAAGTTCCCAAACGCAGCCTTGGAGATTTTAAAGAGGCGAATTCTTGGTTTACGGAGGACCCTGAGGAAAAATATGTAGCAAGAATGTGGAGCAAACCAGGCTTGGGTGTCATCAAAATAAACTGTGATGCATGATGGATTTCATAAACGACACAAGCGACATTGGGAGTGGTGGCTCGAGATGGGGAAGATCTTGTTTTAGTGTCTGGCGTGTTCTCTCCTTGACGTGCACAATCTGCTCTTATGGGGGAGCTTTCGGTAATCAAGAAAGGTGTTATAATGGTAAGGGCTAAATACCCATATTGGTATTTTTAATTTCATCCCATTTATCAATAAAGTATTTTAATTAGGAAAACATGCTTTAAGACATATTAATTTATTCAACTAACCAACGATGCCCTTTTTCTCGTCGGTGATCAGTTTTTCGGCGAGAGCTCGTCACGTGCGTGGCACGTGATGACTTAAATTGTTTTTTAGCTGCTGATGTGGCACGGACTTTCTGATGCGGAGTGTTTAAAGGCGGAAATTAACCCTCTAAAAATCCCAATTCACCCAAAATAGGACAGATCCGCCTCTTTTATTTTCAGAATTTGAACGCGAGAGAGAGAGAGAGGGAGAAATAGAGAGTGAGAAATCGTGGACGAGCTCTCGCCGAAAAACTGGTCGCCGACAAGAAAAAGGGCCTCGTTGGTTAGTTGAATCAATTAAAATACCTTAAAGCAGGTTTGCCTAATTAAAATACCTTCTTGGTAAATGGGGTGGAATTAAAATACCAATATGGATATTTAGCCTAATGGTAAGAGAACAGTGCTATAAGAGGGTGATTTTTTAATCTTGTTTTGTTGAAGCTACTAGCATGCTCCTCAATGACGATGTGCCCTACCATCAGTTAGCTTTGCTTGCAACAGATATTAGAGTTAGATTTAATCTAATAAATCTATTTGTGGGCACATATGATTAATCAATGTGTATTGCTATCTTTCAGGATAACCCACTAAAATGATCAATTAATTTGGGTTAATTGGGTATTTAAATAAGTCATGAGGTTATATGTGCAGATACCGGGTTGTAATTGTGATTTGTTGAGGGGCCAAATTGTAAATGTACAACATCTATAAATAAGGGGTTATGGTCCCTAACCTAGGGTTACATTCTCTAATTCTCTTCACCCCCATCTAGAGAGAAATTCGGCTAGAGAAAACCCTAAGGTTAGAAGATCCAAAACCCATCTCAGGTTTCATCTATGGATTCAGGTATAAGCTTCCGCTCTTTTGATTATTGTTAATCTCTTCGAATTAATCAATGGCTTTATGGTTTTAGATCTTAAGTTTTTATTATTAGATCTAACAAGTGGTATCAGAGCCATCTTTGATTAATTCTTAGGGATTTAAGATTTTAAAATTGGGTTTTTGATCTTAAATCTCTGGTTTTTGGATTAAGATTTGTTTTCGGATGAACAGTAATGTTCGGATGAACAGTAACGGTGGCTGAAAAAAATTTGGGTGAACAGTAAAGTTTTTCGGATGAACGATGACCTAAAATCGCCGGTGAACAGTAACTTTTTGGATTTTTCTTCGGTTTTTTCTTGGATCTGGATCAAGAAAAACTCATTTTTTCGATTCTAGATCTGTTTTTGAATTAATGACGGCGGTTTCAGTTTGAAACCCTAAGGGTTCGTGCGTGAAAACGTGACAAAAATTAAGGAGGTGGTTACCTCAACCGAACTTCGCGTTCGTTATAAGGTGAGCGTCAAGCTCAATTTAAACGAACTTCGCGTTCGTTCTCATGTGAGCCTCGCGCTCAACTCAGGTGAGCGTCAAGCTCAATTTAAACGAACTTCGCGTTCGTTCTCATGTGAGCCTCGCGCTCAACTCAGGTGAGCGTTAAGCTCAATTTAAACGAACTTCGCGTTCGTTCTCATGTGAGCCTCGCGCTCAACTCAGGTGAGCGTCAAACTCAATTTAAGGTGAGCCTCGCGCTCAATTCAAGTTGAGCCTCGCGCTCAGATCTCAGGTGAACCTTGCGCTCAGCTCTAAGGTGAGCCTCGCGCTCAATTAAAGTCGAACCTCGCGTTCATTTTTCAAACGAACCTCGCGTTCGTTCTGTGTTCATTTTTAACGAACCTCGCGTTCGTTCTCAAGTTGAACCCTGCGTTCATTTTCAGACGAACCTCGCGTTCGTACTTAAGTGAGTCTTGTACTCAATACAGTCGAACCTTGTGTTCGAAGTCAAGCGAACTTCGTGTTCACTATGGTTAAGCCTCGGCTTTTCATGGGTCCACTTTGGTATACTTAATTTATTCAATTAAGTTATGGGCCCTAATTAAGCTGTGAGACCCCAATTAAATTTTTGGAAATTCAGTTGATTTAAATTAAAATTTTTTAATTTAAATCTAATTTGGTTTTTAATCAATTATTTAATTCAAATATTATGACACTAAGGTATTAAGGTTGTCTCTCACTCCAATTGATTAATTGAAATAAGAAGTTGCCAAAGTAACCTATCTTGTGTAGATTGTTCATGAGGAATGTGAGATGTTTGTGTGTATGCTTTCGTGTAAATATTTAATCGGCCCAAAGGAAGGTTAATATTTATTTAGACTGTATACACATCTGCGATGATAAGCGTGTGACAATTATAAGGTTTACATGTGAATAATGAATCGATCCAAAGATAGTTTCATTATTTGACATGAGTTATTGTCAATGTTTGATCATTGCAACAAGGTATCACTTACAAGTTAATATTACTGTCGAAAGACTTGATATTAATGTTGTGCCCGATATCTTGGATGGGGATTATCATTATTTGAATTTTATTGATTATGGTTATTGATGTGAGCATTTTTGTTTTATTTCAGCTAATACATCTGCTGCAATAATTTCTTAATTTAAATCTAATTTGGTTTTTAATCAATTATTTAATTCAAATATTATGACACTAAGGTATTAAGGTTGTCTCTCACTCCAATTGATTAATTGAAACAAGAAGTTGCCAAAGTAACCTCTCTTGTGTAGATTGTTCATGAGGAATGTGAGATGTTTGTGTGTATGCTTTCGTGTAAATATTTAATCGGCCCAAAGGAAGGTTAATATTTATTTAGACTGTATACACATCTGCGATGATAAGCGTGTGACAATTATAAGGTTTACATGTGAATAATGAATCGATCCAAAGATAGTTTCATTATTTGACATGAGTTATTGTCAATGTTTGATCATTGCAACAAGGTATCACTTACAAGTTAATATTACTGTCCAAAGACTTGATATTAATGTTGTGCCGGTATCTTGGATGGGGATTGTCATTATTTGAATTTTATTGATTATGGTTATTGATGTGAGCATTTTTGTTTTATTTCAGCTAATGCATCTGCTGCAACAATTTCTGCTAACATCAACTCAATTCCCATGCTAAATGGGACAAACTTCAAGGTTTGGAAAGAGAACATATTAATTGTTCTTGGCTGCATGGATCTTGACTATGCATTAAGAACTGAACAACCCCAACCTCTCAATGCGGATAGCACTCCTGATGCAAAGAAGGAGCATGAGAAGTGGGAGCGTTCAAATCGCATGAGTCTTATGATCATTAAGCGCGGCGTTCCGGAAGCCTTCAGGGGCATAGAATCCGAAGGGATTACTAAGGCTAAAGATTTCCTTGCCGAAATTGAGAAGCGTTTTGCGAAAAACGATAAGGTAGAAACAAGCACGCTTTTAGCTCGCTTGATTTCAATGAAGTATAAGGGCAAAGGAAATATCAGGGAGTACATTATGGAAATGTCTCATATTGCTTCAAAGCTTAAGGCACTTAAACTCGATCTTTGTGACGAGTTATTAGTGCATCTGGTTTTGTTGTCTCTTCCTGCACAGTTTAACCAATTTAAGGTCAGTTATAACTGTCAAAAGGAGAAATGGACTCTAAATGAGCTCATTTCATACTGTGTGCAAGAAGAAGACAGGTTGAAGCAAGATAAGACAGAAAGTGCTCATTTGGCCTATGCCTCTAAGGATAAGGGCAAGAAAAGGAAGAATGATAAGGAAGCTGCTAAGGGTCCAGTTGAGAAGAAACAACATAAGGATAATCAGGGTTGTTTCTTCTGTAAGAAGCCTGGACATGTAAAGAAGGACTGTACAAAATATCACGCCTGGCGTGATAATAAGGGTACGTTCCTTGCTTTGGTCTGTTCTGAGGTTAATTTAGCTTCAGTACCTAGAAACACTTGGTGGTTAGACTCTGGTGCTACTACTCACATAAGTGTTTCTATGCAGGGTTGCCT